TCTAAAAGTGTGAAATCTCAAAAGAGTGAAAATCTTCTACTCTTATTCACACAAGACTGTAAATTTTTCACTTTTTTTCAATAATGGCAATATTTTAACTCTTTTGAAGTGAGATTTTATTTCAAGAAATTTAGAAGGTAAGTTAACCCAAGGTTAAATTTAATTTGCACGATGAAAGTGGGCATAAAACATGATTATCTGTGATTTGCGTATTTTTTAAATAAATTGTATATAAATGATATAACGATAAATTTGTATAAAATATTATGTAAATATGTAGACTAATAACTTTTTCTTTCCGTCGCCATAAAAGTAGAAATTAAATCCAAAAAACCTGCTACGCAGTTTTATTTTTTAAAATAGTATAAGTACGTAGTTTTTTCTAACTACGCCATTTATTTTCGAACTGTGTATCGTTGATGTGATACTCGTTTAGTACTCATTATCATATCTTGTATATGTATTACGGCGATCTGTTATATGAAACGCGAGATGAGAGAGAGAGAGAGAGAGAGAGAGAGAGAAAAGAGAAAGAGAAAAAGAAAAAAGAAAAAAAGAAAAAAAGGAAAAAAGAGAAAAAGATTGTTGGTATTAATATAAGAGCACAACATGTGTTAATTTATATGTCAACCATTAGAAGTATATTTGTATTACATAATTATTTTATCAGAAAACTTTAAAATGATATTAATATAACATTAATTCTGTACTATAAATAAGATTATCTTACAAAAAAAATAAAGGTTTTGTAATGATAAAAACGAAGCAGATTTAAAGGCTTTTTTCTTATCTTGTAACCTTCAACTTTAACTTTAACGAGATCAAAAAAATGTATAATCAATTTTTTCTCATGGAAGATCTAAGAGAATGGTTCGCATAATTAGTATCGAAGTAAAATATTATTAATTGACTGTTGCTTTGCAATTTGCAACGTTCTATCTATGTAATTAAAATCTCACTGTCGAACTTTTGATAACAAAGGTGAAACATCACACCACTTCAACAACGATATCTTATTGCGTAAAATCGATAGAATAATTTCATGAAAATTAAGGTAATTTTGATAAACAGTGCCTCTTGCTTTATCTTTTCTTTGTTCTATTCAGCATTTTTCAGTATACAATCTAATTTTGTCATTATTACACGGATTGCATATAAAAACTTATTGTAAGAAAAACTATAAAATATCAATGGATTAGATAATTATAATATATGTTAACAATGGGAGGAAGGATATAAAATATAAAATTATGACAGATTAATGTTGCAAATATTTAATTTTAATATACAATAATTTTAATATACAATAATAAATGATTTATTAAAAATTATTAGATTAATTCTCTCTCTCTCTCTCTCTCTCTCTCTCTCTCTCTCTCTCTCTCTCTCTTTCTCTCTCTCATGTATTCTTTAAGTATTTTTTTATTTTCTAAATATAAAAATACATGATAGAATATTAATTGACATGATAGATTAACATGATAGATTTTAAGAAGAGGACTTTGAATTATTTCTTTATTTCTCTTTAAAGAATCCTTTTAAGCTTTCTTTCCTATAGATCTTCTTTTTAAATTAATTAATTTGTTAATCTTTCTTATAGTATAATAGCAATAAAATGACCTTATTAGTTAATAGTTCTTTTATCTATTATTGTTTTGTCATTTTCTACCATTACATTGAGTGAGAAAAAGGGGAAGAAGGAGAATTATTGCGTCTACTTTAAAAAGAGAAATGTGTTGCACTTGTGCATGACTGTCAAGTTTTGCATCGTATCAATAATGCAGAGTCATAGTAATTTATACAAAAAAGTATTCGATGTCTACAACTGACGTGTCCACAGGGTTTTACATAGTTTAAAACATGTTTAAGTGATGTTTTTAACATGTTTTAAACATATTTAGAAATACCATGTTTTTTTCTAAAAAAAAAAATATTTATCTTTGTCAACCCTGCATATCTCTTAACATTTATGTGCCAACTGTATTTGTCAACAGGATAAAATCTTAAAAATGCAGTTAAAATCGATCATCATTTTTTAAATCGGAAGTGATATATTTTAGTAGTATATCCACTCGGATTTAACATGAAATTTTATATTCTAACAAAACTGATATATTTACAAAAGTCATAATTGACAAAATTTATGAATTGATAGGAGTTGTGCGTGAAGGAATTATATTTAAAAATTCTTTTTTAACGATGTTTTTAACGAACAGTTACGATTAATAATTTGTATATCTGATTTACGCAATTCAGCTCTCTCTCTCTCTCTCTCTCTCTCTCTCTCTC